TACCTCACACCGACCCCAATTTCGAGGGCCCGAAAACGGGCGAATTTTAGCCCTTTTTGTGCAAGGCTCTTTCTCTCGTTGCGTATTTTGAGCACCCGTTTAAACGCGCATCGCCGAAAAAGCCAAGATGGTATCCAAAAATATCTGTTCTTTCCGTGTCAAGATTATCATAGTGAGTGTCGGAATCGGCATTACTTGACAATCTTGTACTTAGATCGGGGTGGACCAAAACTTCTTGAAACTTCTTCTTTATTTTTTTTAATTAAGTTGAAGCTAATTTATTACGCTTTAAATTTTCGCGGAATATCCCTCAAGCAATGTAAAAAAATATCGAAAATTTTACAAAAATTTCGTCAAATAGTTTTCTAATTGGAAAAAGCAGGTGTTCAGCAGTCTGCAACGTCGGAAATTGAGAAACGTAGTTTCCGAGTTTGTCCCTCTATATTCTAGGCTGGAGATACTCCTGCAAAGTTCATTACAATTCGGAACCAAACTGGCATTCTACCAGGAATCCGCAACCTAATAATGCGAGGGTATAGATCACAGCAACGGAACATTCTTAAGCTCTGAACTGGACTTAACAGACTCTAATTAGATAATGCGAAAGTTCTCTTTGAATATCCACCCAGCTTGGATGATGCGAAAGTTACCATGGAGGACTAAGCTTTTTCTTACTGACAGCAGCACTTTCTTTACATAGGATTGACGAATGAATCGTTGATAAGTCCGTTCGTAAAGCAAGTTTGTCAAACCGGGTCTCGTTTACTCAACAAATTGATTCATTATACTCATCAGTTGATGAAAGTAGGGGTGACCATCTGACAATGTTGGTAGATATTTTGCACTCCCATTTCAAGTAGCAATCTAATTAGGCAAATAAGGTTTATACCTGTTGAATTTGAACAAGTGTTCAGATCTATTAATCTTGGCAACCATGTAAAGTTGACGACCAACATAAATCGTTTTAAGCAAAAATGTGCCCGTAACTTTGCCAGAGCGGCCAAGTCGATTTTAGAGCAATCATGCAAGTTAGCGTTAAACCCTCTGTCCCGTACCATTTCTTTTGTAAAAAAATTATGTAGTAACTTCACAATTCCGTTTTTGACCCGTTACTCCAGCCCAAGCTATCCCGCTAATATCGGCTTTATCTGTCGCCTAATGGTGATCGATCAGCAACTTGTTGAGATTTTCATTGGCCAAATAACGACTGATGAGTTTGCAAAGCAAGTTTGTCAAACTTGGTCTCGTTTGCGGAACAGAAAGCTGAGTACTTCGTCGATCAATAATTTTTTGACGAATCTAAGCATGGACTTCCAAAAATAACTTTTACTTCGTAGGTAAAATTGCATCGCGATAGCAGTATAATCTATAGGCCTCTGCAGGCCGATTGATGGAATTTTGTGTTTTTCGACCAGGAAAACTATGAAGAAGGTGAAATAGAGTTTGTTGATTGGTCGGCGCCGTCCATTGTTTGGCATATCGTTGATTCCACTCGACAAAGGTGAGATAAAGAGGAGAACCAGCAGAGCCAGAGCCTATCAATGGTGATTATTACGACCTGCGAATACAACCTTGATTGTGAAGTAATTGTAGCGCCTGGATGCAACTATTCGTGTTCCACGGATGTGCGTGTTGCATGTTCAAAATTGAAGGCGCTTTCGCTTTTCTGACCTCTTCAGAAACGCATGGGAGTTGCTTTTAGTAGTATTCGAATAACATAGTGCTAATTGCTTACCGACAATTGTAATAACCAATCATTCTGGATAATTTGAGGTCATAGTTTGACTGCCTTTTGGGCCCTTAAGATCCCCATAATATGAACTATAAGAACAATGGAGAATTCGCATGAAAAGTTATTATTGCTTCATCTGAAAGTGCTTAAAGAGCTGATTTCACAGTATTTTTTATAATTTATTTTCCGGGTATGGGAAATAGTATAAAAATAGATTTAAAAGTGAGAAAATACACCGCCTTGTGACGCCATCTGGCGGCATTCCCCAATGTACATATGTATTTTAGCAGATTAGATCATTTCATCGTATCTCCGCCAATTTGTGAACCAAGGGTTTCCTCGTGTTTAGTTCACTCAGTAGTTTCCACTTAAACACGAAATTCCTCGAATTTCAGATACCCGCAAATTCTCTATTTTAAGAATCGGTCCGTTGTTGGCGTTCCGTAATACTTCATTAAATCGCCTCTGTATTCTCGGTGGAGGACCTTCAAAATACCTAATCACCGGCGGTTTTGTTTTTTTCGTCTTCAGAGGTGATCTCGACCCGAAGTGAAGTACGAAGCAGAGCAATGCAATTCCACCGTGTGCTAATAGTTTATGCTAGAGTACCTGTATAGCGAGAGTATGGACAGATCGCTTCATCGAGGGCTTAGGGCCCAAAAGTGCAGCCACCCTTCTAACCAACTTCTAACGCACAAAATTTCACTGCCAGTCTGTAGATTCCAATTCTAACGAAGATGGCTAAGAAAGTACATAAATGAGCGTTCTTCCGCAAAAATGAGTAAATTTATGCAAAAACTAAGTCAAATACGTGCTTGATAAACGATGGTTCGTAACAGTTGTATTAATAAATCGCTCTGGATAATTGAAATTCATAGGTTGGCTGCATTTCTGGGCCCTAACTTTATTCGCGGAGGCATCGGTGAAGGTTTGATGGATTTTCGGAGTTTCACATCTGTCTATACTCTCGCTATACAGGTACTCTAGTTTAAGCCTCAGTTAGTTCATTTACTTAGATGGGCTCGGTCACCTCATCACGAAAGTTCACTCGTCTAGAGGTTGATGTGCGCGGCACGCCTTGGCGGGATCGCTCTCCTTAGAGAAGATTTTGCATTTGTGACGTGACGTCACGCGAGGCGCGCGCGCGACGCCGTGACGCGTCGAGAGCAAGAGATCTCGGAATCCGGCCTCCACGAGTCGTTGAGTCATGCAAGTGTTGGTGACGTAACCGAGTCCACGCTGACATTTTATGACCGTGCCCCGTCTTGGCAAAGGCACGAGTTGGTCTCCGCGACAAAATGTGAACTCGGTCAGTGCAGAGTACCTTTATAGTATGGCCATTCGTACCTTTTTACTGCAGGAAAACTGTGCCGCTTTCTGATTGGTCAACGAGTTTTTAGGCCGCATAATACTCTTAGAGTCCCTTTATACTGAGAGTCAAGACAATGTGAATCCATTTCTGATTGGTTCCCGTATTTTAGGCCTTCACAGCGTCACAAACGGGAATAAAGATTACATTTTCACCGATTGCAAAGATTATAATCTGGAATGGACCAGGGAATTACGGGTTCGGCAAGGAACAAACGGAATGAGAGAAGGAACGGAGAAAGGAATTTAAGAATGGGCCGATCAAAGATTACAAAGAACGTTCAATTTGTGTAATCTCTATTCCCGTTTGTGACTCCATGAGAGGTGTTGTCTTGACTCTCAGTATAAAGGGACTCTAGTGCAGAGTACCTTTATAGTATGGCCATTCGTACGTTTTTACTACAGGAAAACTGTGCCGCTTTCTGATTGGTCAACGAGTTTGGCAAGAATCGGTGTTTGCTGCGAACGCCCTGTTTATCGATTCTTTCTTATAGGTTTAAATGGCAAATCAATCGATACATCGCAAAGCACAACACGCCACTGCTTCATATGGAGAGTGCGGACACGTCGAAATATGGAGCTCTTAGGACCCAATAGGCAGGTAACCCTCTAACACAAAAACACTATAGAAATGCCGTTACGAATCTTCAAATTTCAATTTCAAAGCAAATTGGCCAGGAGTGTTCATAAATGAGCGTCCTCCACAAAAATTAGTAAATTTTTGAAAAAAGTAAGTCAAATACGCGCTTTACAAATGTCGGGTCGTGAAAATTAATATAATGTATCATTCTGGATAATTTGAGTTCATAGTTTGACTGCCTTTTTGGGCCCTAAGAGCTCCGCATCATATATTCTTGTACGTGTCGAACCGACAATAATACGTTGAGGTAGTATGCTGGTCACAGAATCGTGGTGTGAGATGGTGCGATATGTACTTCACGCATTGCGCAATGCGTGAAGTATCCCTGTTAGGTTTGTAGGCGCCAGTGCGTCGCTGCGCAATGCGTGAAGTATCCCTGTTAGGTTTGTAGGCGCCAGTGCGTCGCCGCGCAATGCGTGAAGTATCCCTGTTAGGTTTGTAGGCGCAAATGCGTCGCCGCTCCGCTTTGTGTTAGGCTCTAATATTTAATCTCGCGGAGTCAGCGTTTTTCAACTCATGATTTTGAAATGTTTGCACACTCTGTATGGACCATCTCATTTTAATTGATGAAAAAAAAAATATGTTTTAAAGGAAAATATAATGTGTGTTTTGTAAATATTAAAGTAGTTCCGTATCAAACTTAATGATTTCCAAAGCACACGAATTTCTACACAATTTCTTATAGCCTTTTATAGCCAATGGCGATAAAGTGTAAAGCCCGGCGATAGGAACTATAATGATAATAATAATAGCGTTTATTGATGATAAAATCACACATACAATTTGAACAAAAAACTTTACCACGCCCAAATACCCCATGGCGTAGGCCGATTGGGGGAGGTTAGCTTAAAAACGGGCCATGCCCGCATACAATATAAGGATACAAGAAATATACAAGAATATAAGGATATAATATAATGAAATCAGACAATGATAGGAACCATAGCCCGGCTGTATACTTTTTTATAGCTTCGTACAGCCCGGCTTTATGATTTGCTCCGCTTTCTACAGCCAGCTGTATGATTTTCAATAGCCTTCTTTAGTCGGCTATAAGAACTCCTATGGTATTTTGAAACGCAGCTCGTATCCCCTATTTTTACCAGGGCTGTTTGGACAGATCTTAGTATTTTAGTTAATTCACAAAAAGGAAACATCAAAATACGATTCTGTGACCAACGCAACTGACCCATTGACTGATCGATCACCTAAAATCTTTAATTTGTTATACTTACATTTCGTCAATATGTTTTGTTGTTGCAGGACTCGGATGATGAAATCTCCCACTTGGAGTGGGAAACCGTGCGGGTGCGTTTGATAAAAGCTGGGACTTTGGAAAAGCTCGTCGAAAGCTTAGCTACCGACGATGGTGAACTAGAGTCAACCTATGTCAACGTTTTTTTGGCCTGCTATAGGACGTTTTCTTCCCCGAAGCAGGTGCTCACGTTAGTCTTGGACAGGTTTGTGTTATTCAACCAATTTTACTCCAGTTTTAAACGCAATCGACGTACAAAAGAGAGTCAACTAAATAGCGATATTGCATAATAGTTTCTTCATTATAATAATACGAACGGCACACGTAGCACGGACTGCCGCAGTCAACAGACTTCCTTCGATGGTGGCTACCGCCATTCCATGAGGAAGATCGGAAATAAACTTTTGCCCTTGCATTATAGGATCAGAGAAAAAATATTCAAGAGATCCTGCTTTAGCTATCGAAGCGATGTAAGACAGGGTTACCACAGTCAGGGAAAACCGGGAAATGTCAGGAACTTTCAGAAAGTCAGGGGAAACCTGGAAATGTCAGGGAAAACGACGAAAATGTCATAGAAAAATTGTCAAGTCACCTTTATTTTCTTTCTGAAATAGGTTTGACGTTTTGAACCACTTTTGCCTGAAAACAAGTTCAAATCATGCCTTTAAAGCATGTGGCATATCCTCAATCGTCAGGAATTTCACCCAAATGTGACAGAAAAATCAGGGAAATATCAAGGAATTTCATTTTTTAAATTCTGTGGCAACCCTGGTAAGAGGTTGAGATACACTGGGGGATGTAATTTTTTTTTTTTGGGAAGCGGCTAGGGAGATTTTTGGCCGTCATCTTTGCGGCGGTCCCCTGTGGTTACCTTCTGAGTCCAAATGTCTGATGGTTCTAAATTTATCATAATTCATGACTGAGCCTTCGAGGAAAAAATAATTTTATCGCATGATTTCAAGTAGAAAATGGGAAGTAGAATGTGAAGTTTGTCTTCGAAATTACACAAGCCCACATTTTCGCACCGAAATCCGCCTGAAACCCATGTAAATCGGACGTATTTCTGTCAAACGGAACTATTTGCATTAAGACATGAGCCCTGAGACCCATAAGAATATATGCGTAACAGGACTCACGTCATGATACACATAGTTCCGTTTGACAGAAGTGCGTCCAATTTTGAAAACAGCTCGTTCCACGTATCAGCCACGAACTATACGAGGTTTTTTTCTTCAGTAAATGTTTGGGAAAATCTTGTTGTTGGACTCTCAGGAGAAAAAAATAAATAAATGTGATAAAAAATAAAAACTGGTGACGAAAGTTTTGGCCCTCTCACGGACAAAAACATATGGTTTTATAAACCAAATAGTGGTTCATATGGAGCACCACTAATAGTCGTAAATGAACTAATGATTATCGGTCTGTGTGCCATACTAAGGTATCTCGTACCATACGAACGTATACGTACCATCGTATGTGCTATTCTTATATGCTGTCTTTACGACGATTAGTAGTGTTCTAATATGAACCACTAATTGGTGTATAAGCTATGGTTTTTTCTCGATGATAGCTGGAAACGACTCGTGTGCAGGTTCTCAACAGTGATGGAGCATCGTATTATAGCCAAAACGTCGCATCTGGGGCTCGTGACCGAAAGTGAAGGTGAAAACCGCTGTTCTGCGTTGCTGTTTTCAGTGCATGTGACACTTCCCAACCCAGTAAATTGGTGCGGGTCTAATTTAACAGGCCGTAATGCAATTGAATAAATCGTCATATCGGTATTGTCACTCGAGGGGCGAGGATGTCCATCATTATCATGTTACGAGAGCCCACCACTGCCTGGTGGCTCCTTCAATTTCGGTCCGCGGCTGCACTCGTGGCTCCCCCCCCCCCCCCCCCCNAACGTAAACAATACTGAACTAGAGCTAAGATGCGCGCGAAACCGCTGGGTTTACCCTTTTTTCCTCGACCATCCAGTAATATTAAGCGGATTCTGTTGTCACAATGTCATGCAGTAGATATCAGAGAATCATTATTTACCTGTTTTACCAAACTTTTACCACATTTATTTTTTGGACTTTTCGCCAGCTTTTCGGGTATAATACTCCACTGTGCGTCCCCTCTCGCTATTCACTCTCTACGTTAAGTAACCGCCGGGCCGCGGCCTCCAAACAATCAGTGTACCACTGTTGCCGATTCGTCTACAAAGTATCAGCTTTTACTCCCAGTCATGAGATCTACGGGTTTTTATGTTGCGGTTTTCAACTACGGAAACACTGCCACGATTACAAGCAGACTTGTACAGTTCTGACAGGAAAACTGCCGTGCTAAGGAAGAACGCCGTACGATCCTTCAGACGTTGCCAAGTTTCCCTCGGTAAAAACTTATATTACTGGGAATATTGTGAATATGTTTCCCCAAAATTTTCAGACGATTTCAATTTAATCTAAAATATGTGAAAATTTCAAAGAAAAATGTGCATGAATGTCGTCAAAAATGCATGTTTTATCAAGGAGAATCTAGCAACTCTCGAACGATCATACCGCGTTCTTCCTTAGCACGTTAGAATAGATATACACACATGGATGGAATATGTACCCCAATAAGGCTGCTTGTATTCTCGCGTAAAATTTAATGCATCTCTTACATTTTCAATACATAATGACTTACCCTAAATATTCGAGGAAGGCTCACACGACAGAACAATTGATTGATTTTTTCTAGACTTAAAGTTTGTTAAAGCATAACTGTGTCAGCTGTTACCTGCTAACCTAATTTTCAGTACGAGACAGTTACTTTTCTTGCAGCGAGTCCTTTTTATTGTACTTAATTTTCTCAATAAAATATTCATGTATTTCGTTGGTGATACGCTAAATAATGCTTTATAATTTAACAAAGTTAAATGTGCAGTAAAATCGAGCGGAATCGATTTATAATATATTGAGTTTTTATCTTTGATTAAAAATTACCGATGTACTCCCTGAAAATTGTAAAGTTCCTTCTTAGCAATAAAATAATGACGAATTAAATGGAAATAAAGAAAAATGTAAAGAAAGGTGATTTGTAGTTTTTTTCAAGTCAAACTACGCGGAAAGCGATTTTTTTTCTTAAGTATATATAGAGTATCCCCTCGCAACTTTTCCTCATACAGGGTTGTCACAATCAGAATATGTTTGGAAAACAGGGGAATGTCAGGGACTTATAAAAAGTTAGGGAAAACCTAGAAATTTCACGGAAAAGGCCGAAAGTGTCAAGGAAAAATTGTTACTTAAGTCACCCTTTTTTTGCACTCTAGAGTGAGTTTAAAGTTTCTAACTACAAATTTTGCCTGAAAACTATTTCAAATTATGTCTTTTTAACCATCTGGCATATCTTCAATGGTCGAAGGGGATTTTTCCAAAATGTATGTGGGAAATCAGGGAAATATTAGGGTATTCTGAAGCAATCCTTTTCATGGGACCATTGCGCGTACGTTAAAGCTCTCCATCCTTATTTGTTGCCTTTGATGGTTATCATCAGATTCATGGCAGACAAGTTTTCATAGGGTGAGGGTTATTGTACCTCGTGCCGGAAGTTCAGTAACGCTGACCTAACACCCACCTCCTACCATTTATCTGGGATGGGCCTTTTCTCTTCTTTTTTTCTGGAGGAAAGATATTAATTAGTACCAGGAATTCGGTAGCTATCATCGGAACACCTATGTATCTAGGTTTTAAGCGTGTTCAGTATTTCTCACACTTTGATACAACTTTATTCGAAAGATTGTCGTGGAGCCAAATTTGCGGGATTGTTATTTTTAGAAACGTTTCGTAACTTTTGATGCAGAATTTCATGATTTGTTCGGTATTTTAACCTCGTGTTACGCGCATCTCCAATTGTTTAAAAATTGTACATAACGTATTCCGTAATAGAATGAGTTTTCGGAGACTTTAACGAGTGGTTAGGAATGTAAACCATTTTCACAAGAGCATTGAAGCGGTCTCTTTCTGCATTTGAGCCGCAACCTGTCATAGCGGAAACATCGGGTATAACTCTATTAAATAGATGTACTAGAGTCATTCAGAGAGAAATTCTACTCCCCCCCCCCCCNCCCTTCAAGAATACTACATTTTTTCCTCAGGGAAAAAAAATCAAATGTATCGGTGCGAAAATTTCGTGCTCATAATTGTAATATCGTCCTGGTTTTTAGGGTTTTTAACTAACTGATTGCTCAGAAATAACACGTTTCTGATGCCAGCTCGAAATATCTCTCCTTACCTATTTTGAGTGTTTTATGAGTGTTTATTTGCTGCGTTAATTTCTTTTCAGCAACTGTTAAGGCCATGAAAAAAGAGTTGAAAAATGTATTTCTTTTAGCCGTGCAAGAAAATGTAATTTTTTTAAATTTCCAACAGCCCTCTATGTGATATCTATGTATGCTAACCATATGTAAAAATGTCCCCTTTTTTTTCATCATTTTCCAAGGTGGTATCGGAATAATTCCGACTACTGCTTAAGTAAAAGAGAGTATCATACTGTTTGAAAAGCCGGAATCGATAGCTTCTTAACAATGCATTCAGAATTATTCTAGCTTTAATAGCTATTGAGAAAATCAAAGCTATATTTCTCAATAAAAAAGTGGCAAAAATGTTTTCAAGTGATTATGAAACAATGCAATTTATATTGGTTAGGCAAAGGAAGAAAAATACCATACCATTAGAAAGCTGAGCGTGTAGGATTTACAATGGTTCATTTGAAATTTTGTAAATCTTTAAAGTCCTGGAGCAAAAAAAAATGGGGAATTTTACCTCCTAAACTACCCTTTTTATGAAGCTGTGGAATAAATTTTAATTAAAAACAAGATTTTTTCCTAAAAATTTCACACATGAAACTATTTATTTCATGAGAAATTCGAAGGTGATCCTCAAATAAAGTAATCACTTTTAACTTTTGTTGCGTGAAACACTTAACCAATTCTATTTATGCTTTTTTTTTGGGGGGGGGGGACTATAGAGACTATTTTGATTCTTTGTTTTGTTTCGTTTTCTTTTACTTGTGAGTTATAGAGTACATGAAAAACCTTCAAAGTCTCAATTTTTTATCCCAGTTGTTGATTTCGCAATTTTCATTGTGTGCCTTAAATTTTCGAAGAGGACATTCGTTGCATTGCTTTGCTTTGACTTTTCTCCAACAGTCAATTCTTAGTATGAACTTGTTTTGTACTTTAACAATGAAGGTGTTGAACTTTGAACTGTCTACTTTTTTATTTTATTAAACTTTGATTTATTTACCTTTTTTCAGGTATGAACAGTTGGCAAACAATGAACTGGATCTGCCTGAAGTTGTCACTGAGCAACATAGAAAGTTAGTATACAAAAGTTTATTTTTATTTATTCATTTTAAATTAAGCCTGTGATTGAAAAAAGGAAAAAGGAGTGTACTCATGGTATCTATTATTTAATTCACGTTTCTCAATTAATAACATTGTTAGGAATAAAATCCTTGTAATTTACTCAAATATGAGTAAAAAAAGAAGATTTTTTTATTCAATTTGAAAACCAGAAATGAACTGGTCAAATATTTTTTCTCTTTTTATTGCATGTGCTGTTAGAATACAGTTCTCCCAAATTATGAAAATTAATATCCTCTTTCAATTTAGAATATTTTTTAAATTTCTGTCTTTCCTATCATAGATTAGTCTAATCGTTGTTAGATCTACAGTCTTTAGTATGGGCACTTTACATCAAATTAGTCAGTGTTCTTTGTGCACTTTCATTTATTTAACACAAGCTGACTTTTTCTCAAAATTCGGGTTTTTTCAATATAGGTATTCCTGTGGGATCCTCAGGGATGGAATTTCAGTTGGCAGAAAGTCAAGAGTCTATGAAATATAGAAGGGTTCAATGATACTTCTCTTTGTATAATTTATCACAATGAAAATTTAAAATGTCTTATCATTAACAATATATTTTCATTCATCTTTTCAGGACTTTAGTGTTAGCTCTCCACGTTTGGTTAGACACTTATCCAGAGGATTTTCGAGATCCTCCGCTTCACCCAACTTTACATCAACTCTTATTTTTTACACAACATCACCTGCCCGGCTCAGAATTAGAAGCAAAGGTCAAACATAAACTTGAAAAGTTCACAAGAGAAGATCAACTGCTAGGTAGGTTTATTTTTAGAATTTTTAACCTTTACTATTACGGGCAGATCTTTACTTATTTTTATTTTCTGCACTTGCAATCTAATATTTTTAGTTTGTAACAAGTAGTCTACCTTTATTTGAACCAAAATTTCTCTTTACATACTCAGACCGTCTCTACCGCCTGATGGTTGCAAATGCTCATTTGTAATCCTACTCTTTTACATCCTTAAGGGAAAGGATACTTTTTATTATTATTTTAACCAGTATTCTCTGTTGATGTTTTTTTTCCATTTGTCAGTTTTTACCAAATTAACTGGTAATCACTAATGATTGGCTTTCAGTCAAATTTTTGACATCCTTTTATTGATCCCTGGGGTATTAGAATTATTTACCTGGACTTTTATTTAAATCAACAAAGAGACAGGATCTTTGATTTTGCCCTCCTAATTTATTTTTTCTCATTTTCAGAATCCTGTTCTTTATTTCCCAATGATACAAGCCTGTACCTGAATGGCTCGCACACACCGAGTGAAAATTCTTGTCTCAATGGATCTCATTTGCCTCCTTTTAGTTTTCCTGATGTTCCAGAAAGGCACTTTGCCGAACAGCTGACACGGAAAGATCAGGTAGCTAAGAATACTGAATAAAAAAAAAAACGGTTTACGCAAAAGATAATTAAAGTAAATCTCCATTCCAATTGAAAAACCATGCATGAAAGCCAAACCTAAGTCTTTTCATGAAAGAAAAATAGCACAAATAAAATGAGGTTACTATTGCAGGGTTTCTACCGTATAAGTGTTAGTGCGTATACTTAGAAAAAGCATGGATTTGGAATGGTTAGTACAGACAATCAGAAAATGTACTGATTTTTGGAAGAGGTACATATATACAGGATTTTTGTGATAGACTTTGAAAAAAGCCTTTCTAATATAAAATTTTTCCACGTAGCCCCTTTTATCAAGCTCCCTCTGCTTGATATCTAATTTTTCGGTTCATTCTTGTTTCTACTTTCCACTTTCCTAATTCAAATTTTTCAAAATCTAATTTTTACCACCCAAAATTAAATCTGGCGTAGATTTTGTTGAATGAATAACATTCAAAATCATTGGGGGCACTAAGAAAACTATTTATGTTAAATGATGAAAGAATTATCCATTTGTGTGTCTCAGAAAATATTTCTGCTCTTCAAAGAACCCAAAATGCCTTCAAGGCAAGGAAAAGTTGACGAAAATGCAAGAATTTATAGAAACTTTCTGTTATTGAAATTTTTAGGAAAGTAAGGAAAAACCAAAAATTTAACTAACAAAGTAAACACCCTGTAATTGCCTGAATCATTTTTCTTCCCTCGTATTATTTAATATTTTAAATAGCATCTTAATCTTTTACGAAATTATCTTTTCCAGGAGGTCTTTAAAAAGCTGGTCGCTCATCAGTGTTTAGGTGGTATTTGGTCACGACGAGACAAGTGTCGAGAAGCCAGCACTGTTTTAGCCACTGTCGCTCAGTTCAATGCTGTCAGTCTTAGAGTCATATCTACCATTCTTTTTCACCCTCAGTCTAAAACTAGTGAAAGAGCTGCGATTATTGCAACATGGATCAACATCGCCCAAGTAAGAACTCGCAATCAGATTCTCAGAACTTACTCGCCCTGATGAAGATATAGAGACTTAACTTAATATTATTTAAATTTTATTTAAATTTTTCACAAATTTTAGAAGCTTTATGTGCATAATTTTTGTGGGGCGGTTTTTGGAAAATTACGTGTTGCATGATGTTGTGTGTGATTTTTTTGACAAGGGTATGCGCTCAAAATCACATATATTTTTACTTAACAACATATTATACTTAACAACTCTGCGGTTTGCCAGAGTAACTAAAGGAAATCTAAAGAAACTAAAGAACAAAAGAAAAAAAATTTATTGTAATGCATAAATCACTACACAGATGAGTGTAAAAATATAATTTTAAATTCTTAATGTTGTTTATGCATGGAATACATTCTATCAATCTAATGAAGGTATCTCCTCTTGCATGGTATCTACTTCGCCTTGTTTCTTTTCTCCCAAATTAGCATTGCTCTCTGTTGATGTTATTACATGCACTTCTTTTTTTAACCCTTTATTTTCAGGAGCTTAAAATTATTCCCTCTCCGTTTTCAGGAATTGAGAATCCTAAAATATGTCTCATTCTTGAAAGCAATTATATCTGGACTTCAGTCAATCTACTCTGCCTTGTTTCTTTTCTACAAATTTTCATTGCTTTCAGTTGATGTTAATACATATACTTCTTTTTAAACCTTTACTTTAAGGAGCTTAAAATTATTATCTCTCTGTTTTCAGGAATTGAGAATCCTAAAAAATTTCTCATCGTTGAAAGCAATTATATCTGGACTTCAATCAAATCCAGTCTATAGGTTACACAAAACATGGCAAGCTCTACCAAAAGATAAGGTACCCTTTTTATTCATATTTTTTATCAACTTATTACTCCCTCCCTCCCTTTTTCAACTTGGGTAACAGGGGTACATCCTGTGCAATGCTGTATCTGGTACCCTATAAAGCTATTCACGTAAGTTAGCAACACTTATGAACAAAAAGGCAAAAAACGAGGGCAGCAACACCGCTTTGCTAAGGAATAACGCCACATGAGCTCTCAGGCGTAGCCAAATTTCAGGTGATAAAAAAGGAATTTCCAAGGAAACTGGAGATATATTTTTCTTCCTATTTTTCACAGAATCTCAGTCACAATCTTATCAATAGTATCTGAAAATGTTAAGGAAAAATATTCATAAATTTAATCGAAAAAGAATGTTTCATTCTCCAAATCAAAAATAACTGGACATACTTTTTACAATCCTTTTTTTGACAGTAAAACTGGGAAAACAGGTATCTTGTTCATGGTGTTTCAAAGTCTTCACTCCCAATTCATTTAATAAAAAAGGACATATCAACATTGCTTAAAATTTTCACTGAATATTCTTCACGCAGAGGAGGAAAATCAAGGAACTTTTCAAGAAATGACAAGGAGTATTTTACTCTTTAAAGAATAAAGTATGAAATGAATCCTGCAGCATTGCAAATTGAGATACCTGTTTGCAGTTTTACCATAGTTTTGCATCGCCTGTACTTCAACCGCCTTTAGATGGTTGTTGAAATTTCCAAGAAAAATGCCTGTGACAGATTTGACCAGTATCTTTTTGCATAAGCTATTGCGACGCATATAAGTGCTACGTAAGCTTCATCTCCGCAGCAAGGAGCTGCTGTTTTGTCATCTTTTCTAAATACTTAAGCTCCGAGTTAAGGATCTTCAAGTACTTAAGATCAACGAAAGGCTGCACAATTTCGATCGTAATGCTTCTCAGAGAGGAACCTATTTTAAGCAAAACTTTAATAGAATTTATTCTTTCAACAATGATTCTTTATTCTGTACCTTTTAATCTTTTCCCTTAGTTTGAGTTATTCGAAGAGTTAGCCAGGATATTTAGTGAAGAAAATAATCAATGGGCTCAACGAGAACTTTTAATGAGAGAAGGAACTGCAAAATTTGCGAACACAGCTGGCTCCCGAGACAAGCACATTCAAAAGACTCTTCAACGGCAGTTGGACCAGAGTTCTGTAAGTATGCCTTTTTTTTACCAACATAAAATTTCTCTTTGATGTCTTAAAATATAATGTGTTCATAGCGGCTGTCTCTTGCACAAAGTTGAGCCCACAAAGTTGCTCATTAGTGACTGTTGCCTCTTAAAGAACGTCGGGCTAACTTTCTTTGAAAGTAACCGGTAAGCCAGTTTGTGGGTCTAGTTTGTGCATGGGACAGACGCTTATTGAAGTATATTATTCCCTTTCAATGTATAAATTATCTTGTCTTTCATCTAATGATTTGAATTTAAATAGAGATTAATTTGCCCCAGCTCTCCTATTGGTCAATGCTCTTCAAGATCAATGCATCAACTGTAAGCCCAAGTTTTTTTTTAATTTTTAATCCAATTTTTTTTATGGAACCCATTTTACCTGTCAATTTATTGCATGTAGCAGAAAGCAAAATCCCAGAAACCTAATTTTTTTTATCTGAAAAGTATTCTGTTTTATTGTTTCCTTTTTAATTCTAAGTCTGTCATGAGTTTAGCGTATAAGAAGCAAACTAACCTGATAATATGTTTTGTTCAGTCAGAATAGCATTAATGGATTGCAAAGTATTCAGCTTTGTGGTTTTTGACACTTCAACAGCTCTGCTGAAGTTATTTCCATGATCCTAAATTTATTTTGATTTCAGAGCTTAATCCATTTTAAGTACATTTATTGATGTATTGCTTCTGTTGAGCAGGTACTTCTTCAATCTTTTGTTTCATATGATTACGTTTTGTCTTTAACCTTCGCATTTTCTGATTTATTTTCTTTTGCAGAGAATTAGTTTAGGAACAATACCATATTTAGGAACTTTTTTAACTGATTTAACTATGATTGATACTGCTATTCCTGATACAATAGGCGAAGATAACCTAATCAATTTTGATAAAAGACGGAAAGAATTTGAGGTGCTAGCTCAGGTACGTGCCAAGTTTTTTTTTCTTTTTTCAGAATTATTGTTGCTATCAAAATTTTGTCTTATTATTACGGAAAGATACATTTTAAGGAATGTTCTGTTGTTTTGCTTTACTGGGACACTGGTTAATCAAGCCAACTGCTTTTTTGGAACAATATCATCCGGACTGAGTCTTGTACACACTTAATTGAAATACTACCGCTTACTCAGTATATAAAACCAAGGAGATATTCTTTGTAGAAAAATGCCTCCTACTTGGTAGCAGCTGAAGTTTTCAAGCTGTAATTCTGGTGAGCCAAATAAGTTCCGAACAAATATGGGAAATCATACAATCAGTAACGCAGCCATCATAAGGTTGAGCCCAATGTCAGGTGCCCTGTGCTGCTGATACCTGATTGACTTCTTTTTCCAAGTACCCGAGCAGCAAACACTCGAATGTTCGCCTCATTTTAGTAAAAAGTTGTCAGCAACTTCGCATTTTTGTCCAACTCAATGCAAGAAAACTTATGACAGGACCGAAAAATATGTCTGAGATGAGTGAAGTCTGACTCACTGTCAGACAAGAACAAGGATTCTGACGTATTCTGAAACATCTTTATATTGTGCTTGATTTTGTAACCATGAAAATATTGTTCGTGTGAGGAAATTGACGGGTCCAGAGAACAAAGAAAACAATGATCTAAATTACCGAGATTTCACTGCACCAGAAAGTGATGATGATGTGAATATCTCCCAGGTCGAGATTTTTTCAGAATTCTTAGTTTTTGATGCTGTTGTCCACTGTATAGAGATTGTTGCCCTTTCCTGAAAACCACCAGAGAAGGATTTAGGAAGACCTGCTTAAGTCTTAATTGTACACTACTTTGAAAGACTTTCTCTGCTAATATTTTGCTTGTTGGTAGTTTTTCATGTTTTAGGGGAATTCTTCAGCATTGGAACATCTTCTCTTTTGAAACAAAATTACTCAGGAAGATGTGTCCCTATAAAGCTAAATTAAAATATTTAAATTAGTTTTTATCATAATAAACTCTGTTCAACAACATCCTTCGCACCATCTACACTGCCGTAAAAAGATGGCAGATTTTTCGTGTATAACCCCCGTCTCTGTATTAATTTCTGTCCTCTATAGGGCACTGACTCATTGTCAACCAGGTGCTGACAAACCTGAACTGCCACTTAGCATTTCATTGGTGATGTGCGTGAGACAAAAACAAAAATTAATATACACATTAATATTAATATTTACATTAATATTTTTTGGTCTCGATTTTTTAGATAAAACTACTCCAGGGAGCGGCTAATGCGTATAACATTCCAGAAGATGCCTCGTTTGATCGATGGTTTGATTCCATTCTTGTTTTGGATGACCGAGAAGCATATGAGCTTTCTTGCCAAATTGAAACTAGCATACCGAATACAAATCCCATAAGTGCTCTTCCTTATGCTCGTTTTAGAAGAAGAAACATGTGCGTATATTTTTTACTACATTTATGTCCTCAATTTTATTTTTTTTTTTTTTTTTTTTTGAAAAAGACGTGTGAAATATCTTGAGAAAATCAGGAAAGTTACATCAACACGTATGCCAATTGCTCTCACTTTATTCTAATTCTTACCCTGTCTTGAAATCCATTCAAATTGTTCCAACTTGAAGTGCAGTTGTATCAGCTATGTGTATATGCCTGTTAGAGGTATTCAGGGAAGGTACTTATCTACCATTTTTTTAAAAAAATAAAGGCTTTATAGTTTGAAGCGATAATGCTCCAATAATTCTAGTGTAAAATCTCTGCTCTTAATCAGACATGTATCTCTTCCGAGCTTTGTGTGAAAGGCATAGCTTCAGTGAAAGAGAGGATTTGAATTGTCAAGGCTGTCCCTTCAGTGTTGATTTTCTAATTTTGTCTGAACTTCAGTGTCTAACTTCATACTGATGATGAATAAAAAAAATTTTGAAAAATTATTCATTTTTCTAGATCGGGCCATAGAAAGAATGACTCAATAGCCAGCACCTCCAGTAGTTCGAGTAGTTTATTTTACTGTGATATTGATACAGGATGCAGTCTTCCTTCATCTCCTCATGACTCCTTGGATAGAAAAGTAAGTAAAATCAGGAATCAATGAAATAAGAACAAAATATCAGAAGAAAATAATTTTCATGAAATAAGAACAAGATATCAGAAGAAAATAGCTTTCCTTGGATATTTATTTTAGTTAAGCTTTGAATTTAATTTTTTACGAAGTAAGGTATTCTGCCATACTGCATTTGTTTCTCTTAGAGTTCTCTCTGTTTGAACAAACGCAGGACATTGAGGAATGGTCAGATTTAAAGAAGCTAATATGAGTCTGATTCATAAACTGTGGAAGATTGTGCAGTGACAAGATATCCATCATTTTGTTGAGTTCAAGCATGTAAGTAGCTAATTTTGCATGGAGTGAGGAAAGGAATCCTAGTATGAAACTTAAATTAACCCCAAAAAAAGGTGCCAGAATCAGAGGACTGACTGAAAAACTGCAGTCAGATATCATGTATTCTACTCATAGTAGAGAGAGGACAGGTATAAACCTAGGGCCTGCTCGCCCCTGATCGGTTGGTCAGAGGTTTGTAACAATAAACTCATGAGTTCTTTCAATGTGTCGGTGATAGATGGTCTGACAAGTTTGTGTGCACAAACTCCGTCAGTTTGATGATGAGAAAAGGCCCAACTGCTCGCTTTCAATGTTACATCTTGCGGAATTTTTTCTCCATCATGCTTTGCTGCAGCTGCTACAGGCATATCTGTACTCCTTATTTATGTATTCCACCAATTCAACTCAAAATAAGGACAATAAATGCGAAAATCAAATCATTACGTCTCTATCTCAATCCTAAGATTGCAATTTCAGTGCTGAAGTTGTGGAGCTTTCTTCTAAACTTCCTCTTAGATACTGACTTTTTTATGAGTAATTACAACCTGCAAAAGTTCACTACTGGAAGTATGATGCAGAAGTATTGGAAATTGATGTTTTTATTATTATTTTTTGCAGAGTTCCCTTCCAAATATTCAAGCATCACCTTCTCAAATGTCTAGATCTTCGAGTAGTTCATCAATCCCATCTTTAGATGTCTCTGTGAGCAGTAGCAATACGAATCACTCAACTAATCAAACTTGCAGTCCAGCCAATAGTTCTGCTCGCTGGCAGTCAACAGATTTTTATGTCATCCGTGTTACTCAGGAATCTGACAATCCAGAAACTGAAGGTATCTTTCTATGAATTCTTTTAATTGACCCTTTCATTGCAGATCATAAGTGAATTTGAGTTTCAATCAACCAAAAAAATGATGCCAAAAATGTCGTAGCCAGACCTTATATTACATTGAAATCTGGTTGAAACAACCTTTAATTTAATGGGGTTTTTTTATGTGAAAGTAATTTTTGTCAGTTTCGCCAAATCCCTCAGTTGATAATGTATTCTCTTTTCAAAATAACATCATTGCAGCAAGCCTGGATTCGATCTAATGATAATTTAACAGAAGAAAGGCTACCTTTGGCAGAAAACTTAGGAAATATTCCAGATCTACTTCTGTCATAATGATGTCAGGAATCAAATGCGGTGCTGTTACTCGTATTAAACACTGTTCCCAACCACATGATTATGGCCCACCAGAGGATACGTACCTAAAACGTTGAGATGCTGCTACACCACACGTTTGCTGATTCTGAAATGGTTGTCAGTCAAGAACGCTACAAAAAATCTTCAAGAAAGCTGATCTATCAGACTCTTTTAGTTTCCAGCTTGCTTGCTATGCTCATTAAATGAAATAAAACCTTGGTGACTGAAACAATTCGATTTTATGTGATTTATTGTATCAATTTTTTTTATTTGTTTAGGTGTGGTTCTGTATAAGAGTATAATGGTGAGCAACAATGAGCGAACCCCACAAGTTATTCGAAATGCGATGCTGAAGTTAGGTATTGAAGGAAACCCAGACAACTATACTCTTGCTCAAGTTTTACCGGATAAAGGTTCGTACATCTTATCATTGATATGTTGTCCTCATCTATCACTATGTTTATACAGTCAGATCTCAATTTATTGGATGCCAAAACAATAGATTCAGCAATTCAATGAATTATTCTATCGGTTTTCTCATAAGCACACACAAGATGAGTGTTAAAATCTCTGGTATAATATGAACAGAATTTACAGGTAAATAGTGTCTCATCAAACACCTTCATCAAAGCAACATATTTGCTCTCTGAGGGTATTTCACTGAATCGTGGAATAAAGGATTTGTTTCTGAAAGTTAAACAAATTTCAATTTGCTAGATATGTGTTTGGTTTTTGTATTTTAGTCGTGTAAAGGTTGCTTTTGAGCTCTTTTTTTCCTCCCATATAATCTAGCATCTACTTCGTGACTTCATATTACTCCTCGTTTTGTTTTTCAGAAATGGTGCTACCACTCAATGCGAATGTTTATTATGCAGTAAATACAGCTTACAATCTCAATTTCATTCTTCGGTCCAAGGATAAAGTAAAGGAAAATGGAAATGGAGCTCTACCACAGAAGTCAAAATCAAAAAAACATTTACTTTTACAAACATGACAATCAGCACTCGGCTACACCCCTTAACAGGTTTAGCCATTCACTGAAGATTTTATGCCTTGCATCTTCATTATTTAATTCTCTTGACATTATTTCTTATTGCATTTTGTATTCTCAACCCATTCCTCTCTCTGATAGAATATAAATCATTACTGTTTATGAAACTGACTGAACCATTTTAAATTTAATTGTTGAACTAGTTGTAAACTTCTGACAGCTTAAATGCAGGAACACACTTTTTTGGTATTTTTATTGCCTCAGCAAAGTAAACATTTTTAAACCATTGCCTGCCATGGTGTTTTGAGTACCTACTTCCCTCAGTGCCACTGTGTTTTTTTTTTTTTTCTCCAGAAAAAAAATTTAAGAACATATCAGTAGTTGTGAGCCACTAGTATGTATGCAGCTCCTACAATCCTTTAGTATCACAGAAGCATTCAAAACGAGCAACCGTATTTCAGCAAAAGTGACTGGCTTGATGTTTGTAGAACCCTTCAATGCCAGTTGATACTACCAGCGTGGCAGGCAATGTATTGAACAATCGGATTTCATTTCAAATACGTTTTTTAAACTCACCAATTTTAGTTTCAAAGAAGTGATTTACAAGAGAAAGGATCCATTTTAATATTTAATACTGGTTAACTTCAAATAGATGCTAATTGCAAATGGCAGGCAAAATGATGAGCCCCTATCCCCCCGATGATATCATTTAAACTGAAAGTTCTGTAGCACAATTTATATAACAATTAATGGAATCAGGGCTTTTCATTTTGGATCTCATTTGCTATGGTCGAGATGAGCTAAATTTGAAAAAGTAAAATAAATAGTTCTGTTGAATTCCGTTCTTGCATTCAAGCTGTCAATCTGTCAATAGCCAAAAAATCATTCTGAAATCAAGCCTGTGGCTTTGTTAATTATTTCTGTCGCTAGTGTACTCCATGATATTGTTGTTGTACTTTTAACTCTTTTACTCTTGCTTTTATTATAATTGAACTGTCTAACAGTGCAAATTCTATCGTGCCAAGTTATTATTTATCTAAGATTTTTTTTTTTCAAGTGATGTGCTCCTCGGAACTTATGCATTTTAATTATAAAATTTTTCCTCCCATTCGTGAATTTGCTGTAATGTATGCATTTCCAAAGTTTTTAGCTGATTTTTGCCTGAATGCTAACACATTTTTTCATGACAGGATGTAATTTTCTGAGTGATGTGAAGATAGTTGAAAAGCTTTAGATAGGCCAGAAAGATACAGATCAATCAGCATATCGATGGCTAAATGCAAAAAATTCCCAAATCTATTGAAAAGTTTAGAAATCTCTGATTTATATTATCTCCAAAGGGAACAAAGCTAAATGTTTCCTTGTACTTTTGTGTGAGTTTTATACAATGAGTTTAAGAATTCTCTAAAAATATTAACGGACATCATTAGTTTTTTAAAAAAAATAAAACAATAGTGAAGATTTAAGACGTCACAACCTAAGAAATGCATTTTTTACAACAGCCGTAAATACTTATGATTGTTCTCCTCTTTATTTTAGCCTACCCCCCCCCCCCCCCAAATGAATTTTTAAATTTTACATCGAAATTCACACCTTACATAAAAAAATAAAGCTAATGATGATATAGTTTTGGCCGTGAAAAATCTTCTACAGGGGATGTTTGAGTTAAGTAGGTGATAGTTAGCAGAACCCTCCTGCTTTTTTTTCCTACTTTCATGAATCTTCTACGTACTAAGTTTTTACTCTGTAATTTGAAATGCTCTGGACTTTTTTGTGTGATAAAAGAAACCTGTTTTTTATTTCTCTCAAAGAGGGAAAAAATGTTTTTAATGTATTAGATAGGATTTTTTGGAAAAAGAATAATTCATGAGTAACATTTGAAATTGTATTTAAATTCTCTGGTATAAGTGGAGTATAAAAATAAAAAAAAGGAAGGAAATTAAAACAACTAGCATTGTTTGATATGTAACGATGATCACAAGGGGAAACAAAAAAATTAATTTCAGTTATAATTTTTTTTCATTCCATAATCATCACAAAATCTGACAGAAGTTATCAATTAATCGAGCAGAGGTTGCATACCTTTGTATTTTTTTTTTTTTTTTTTTTTTTTTTTTTTTTTTTTTTTTTTTTTTTTTTTTTTTTTTNAAAAAAAAATGAAACTCATAATGCTCACTTTTACTGAAAAAAAGAAAGGAATTAAATGCTGGAGAATGTAGACTTCTTTCCTCCTTCATCAAGTGTAAATGTTTTTAACTTTTTTTATTCTGAAAAACTCGCTTTAAAAGTGATTCACTGAAAGTTACTTGCGCCCTCGCAATGCAATTTGCATTTCTGTGTGTATTGATTGACAATAAGAGACGCCAAAGGATCACTGATAATTGTATCTTTTGCTTAATATTGTGTACTACACAGTATTTGTTGTAACTTGCAACTAATTCAGCTTCCAAAGCAAGTTTTGCCAGTCTTTTTCTCATTTTCTACAACCTACTTAAATTTTACAAAAAAAGATATTGTACAATCGACAATACAGTAGGACTTTGAAATTATGAAGAGAAAATGTATTCAACATTTTGTGTTGAATGTGTTCAAAAACGTAAACGGGAAATCTATTTCGAAAACTTCAAATTGAAATACACCCACATATCAAAGATGTGTCTCCGGGAGCCTCTTCAATTTTTTCATTCAATTCAACCCCCCCCCCTCCTTCCTCCCCCTAAATGAAAAATATCCAGGTACGTCTTACCATGTCATATACTCTCATTTTTTTTCTCAGATCAGAAAATACTCTTGTTTCCTAGTAGTCTGTTTTTTTGTCCTCTCTTCATTGTTTTTCTTTCCTTAATTCTTACAAGTATTTAAAATTTACTGCTACAAATGTGGACAAACTGATTACATTAAGTTGCATTAACTTTTTGGGGGAAACTTACGGATCAATTTAATAGATCAAATTTTGGTTTTGTTATGTCCTCTGTAGAATGTATCCATGACTGTCAGCTCATGTAGCAGCATTTAATGTGATCCATTCTTTCTTTTAATTCAGAGATAGTATTTTTGTAATCATACAATTTGTAATGCTCTTTGTTCGTGGGTGAATTTTTATTGAGATGGAATTCATTAAGAAAACGAATAATCTATTTTTTTTTTTTTTTCATCAAATTTGACTCACTTTTAATTAATCCTAGATTGACTGTGAGTATGAACAGTCCTTTTTGAAACCTTTACATCTTTTTTTCATGAATTTCCTCTCCATTTTTTATTCAATTTAAAGTCTTCCTCTAGACACATAATTCAGTGAATGCTCTTAAAAAAAGAAAACAAAGACAATACCTTAGTCATAAGTAAAGCTCCCCGCAATCTTTGATGATTATTTCTGTTTTGTGATGCATTTATAAAATATTTTTAAGAAGCAGGAAGTATGTAACGAAATCAAGTAGGTACACTCTATGGAAGTTCCTTTAAAACTTTGGTATCTTCATTTAAGATAATTTGTTTACTGGATTGATTATTGTACTGCATGCCCACACTGGGCTATTTATGAACTACTTAACACACTTACAACTGGGGAGGTTTGTATGTAATGTTCTGGTGGGAGGTAGGGACTTGAGGCTGAACACCGCAGAACATAGCTTGATATGAATTGTAACTCTGTCTGTGAATTTCACCAAGAAGAAAAAGCCAGAATGTTCACCTTTGGGAGGATTAGAATAAGACATCAACAAACCTTTTGAAGTTTGTTAAGTATTTTAAGAATAGTCCTATTTTTTGGTGCCTTACGAACGAATTCGCACTAAGTTTGCAAGTATTTATTTAATAATTGTAATTGCATTGATTGAATGCTCATGATATGGATCAAAATTTGTGTCTTTACCGTTGATAATTATTTTCTTTTATCCATTAATTTTATTTTTCTCAATTTTTCAATCAGTTGTTGTATTTGTAAATTATTAAAAAAATCATTTTTTTCACATAATTGTAGTTTGACTTTTGAAACCCTGATCGATTATTTGACAAATGTTCCAATTACTACAGTATATGAATAAAACAAAGAAAGATAACACAAAATTTACATACTGTTTTATTAAACTCAAGTAAGTCTCGCACTTAGACTTTTTCATGAATGTGTTTTGGTTGAAGTTAATGAGGTCATAAAACCCTCTCTCAATTAAGGTGCATGTGGCCAAAATTCATAGGTTTCAAGTGGGTATTGAAAGATCATACAAATTTGGAAAAATGTGCACCAAAATTTGGTATCAATATTAACATGGATTGAGGATTGGGGAAACAATGAAGAAAACAGAGGATTCTGCAGAATTTCAAGCAAAAGACGTGACTCCAAAAGTTTTTTTTCCAATTGCAAAAAAGTCTAGTATTATTAAACGTAGCTTTTACACAAGAATTTAACCCAACTGGTCAAAAAATTACCTTCATAGGTTATCAAAGTCCAGAGGTAGGCACATTCTCATTGGATAGAGCACTTTATTAGAAATTATAAGGATAACTATTTGCACTTGCCTGTAGGTTTGTTTGCCTTTGTGGCAAATTGAAGAACTTCAAATGGACGATATCTGCGAATGGATTTATACATTGTCGATTGGTTCTATCAAAAAGTTCTTGGAGCAGGATACATGTGTTTTTCAAATAGATAAGCGCTATTCATGCTTCTTATAGTTTCTTTGTTGCCCCTGCAGGAAAATCCTTGTGTTATAGGTAGTTCAATTAAAAACATGGACTTGTTACCTCCTTAATTTTGAGCATCCTCAGTGAGCTGTGGCATTAGCTGGAACATCATGACTAAGTAAGATGCTGTTGCTAGCATAATCTGAAATAATATCATAAGTTATTAATGTCGACATTTTTTTTCTTTTTATACCTTTTATCAGTAAATCGAGCGTGGATCCTTAAACAAGTATCTACCCAGGATAATTTAAACAGGTCTAAATTGATTTTATAACCACATCTTTATCTAACTGTTTTTTTTTCAGAAACGAAATAGCTCAGAGTAAAAGGATCCGATGATGTTCTTTGAAAAAGTTATTTTTTTGCGTTTTTAAATGAAATGCTTTATGGAGGTTTCTTGTGTATGAATAATTGCAGTCAGACTTAAGTATCTAAAGCCACGAGTGAGAAGCAGGAATCCAAAATTTCCAAAGTTAACCACAGGCAGTGCAGTATCACATACTACCGTTACTTATTCCTTGACATGTAGAATTGTAAAATATGCACTTACAGGGCCGGATTTACCTACTTGCCACCCATAGGCCGCCTGTATTATGCAGCCCCCCTCTCATTCGTTTTGAAACATCAATAAAAGAAGCGTTTACCTACTCGTGTTGGATACATTTTTTGCGAAAGCCCTGTCAACACTACTAGCAAAATTTCACGGAACTTCGCGCGAAAGTTAAGCTCCGTAAACCTATATCTCTGTGCACGGTTCGTTTGAGTAAAAGTTATATGAAATTTTCTATCACTCAAAAAGTCTTTTCGGATTCGAAAAGTAGAGTGAAAATGGAGTCTTTCTAGCTAAAAATGAAAATAGGTTGTTCGAGCTCCTGAAGAAATATACCGTTTTTTGTACTTTTTAGGGCTTATTAGAGGCTGATACGAAAATTGACTCAAAATTACTCAAAGTTTCTGTTTTAATTTCTAAACTAAGATAGCTATTGAAATGATCTTGATTTTATTATAAAGCTGGTGTAATTTGCCGTCGATTGAGTGGTCTGCAAGCTAATTTGGTTAAAAATTGAAAAAGTTATGATAGCTTGAATGAAGGGTATCCAAAATAAGCTTACTTGTTTCCCTTACCAAGTAAGGCTCTATTTCTTCTTTTTTTCCCTTCAAGACCAAAAACACTAGAGTCAATCTGTAAAAATTACAGCATTTGTAGTACCCTCAGGTCTGTAACGAGCGTCAGATTTTTAAATTTGACCCATCGGTTCCGGAGAAAATAAATTTTTGGTTTCTGTTGCGTTCTATATTGACGTCCGGCTCAAGACGCGCCACTGACGAGGAGACCAAGTACAGAAAATCGATTTTATCCACTTTGACAATCGATCAAATTTAACATCTAAAGCTCGTTAGAAAGTTGAAAATATGATAAAGAACATTTTACTCTTTGCGTATTTTCCCTAAGCCCCCTTTTTTTGGAGTTATTGGGCATTTTCGGGGCAATTTTCAATTCGATGCTACAAGCGACCAAATTATTCAAATTTCAAAATCTAAAAGTCTCCTGTGAGGAGAGGTCAATACCTTTTTATTGATGTGCCATATGACCCCTGCTGCTCCAAAATTTTGGGGGCTACGACCCCCCAAAAATTTTGGGGCTTTGGAGGGCTATAAGTCGAAAATTTCAAATAGCAAGGGTATGTTTTGACTTCAGATATGGATTCTAAGCGTGAAGTTACGTAGATTTGAAATTTGAATAATTGTCTTGAAGGGAAAAAAAGAAGAAATAGAGCCTTACTTGGTAAGGGAAACAAGTAAGCTTATTTTGGATACCCTTCATTCAAGCTATCATAACTTTTTCAATTTTTAACCAAATTAGCTTGCAGACCACTCAATCGACGGCAAATTACACCAGCTTTATAATAAAATCAAGATCATTTCAATAGCTATCTTAGTTTAGAAATTAAAACAGAAACTTTGAGTAATTTTGAGTCAATTTTCGTATCGGCCTCTAATAAGCCCTAAAAAGTACAAAAAACGGTATATTTCTTCAGGAGCTCGAACAACCTATTTTCATTTTTAGCTAGAAAGACTCCATTTTCACTCTACTTTTCGAATCCGAAAAGACTTTTTGAGTGATAGAAAATTTCATATAACTTTTACTCAAACGAACCGTGTGTGGACAAGGTCCACAGAGATAGAAATGAACCAAAACCATTTATTAGAAATGAACCAAAAAATTATGAAAGAACAAACATAAATGTGGTTTAATAATTTTAACTTCCGCCGCTGCGCCGCGCTGATCGCACTGTGAATGGCGCAATGCGTGAAGTATTCTTACAGTCTTGTAGGCGCTATACGTTTCACGCCAACCGCTCCTGACCGCACTGTGTTTGGCGCAATGGGTGAGGTATTCATGCAGTCTTGTAGGCGCTGATATGTGTTACATGCCGATCGCTGCGCCGAGGGCTTGTCTTTTTCATCTCAAGTCCTCGTCATCATTCCTCTCTGCGTTGAGCTCCAGGCCAAATTGCGTGTTTCGTTCCTCTCTTCACTCTACTAATTAAAGATGCTATTTCTTGTATCACCGAAAAACGACAAAATTAGAAATTACTTTACTCTCAGGAAAGAGGATTTCGTCCCCTTTTCTCATTGATAATTTTTTATCTGAATCCGATTTTTTTATACCCACATTTAAAAAAAATTGCAAAATTTGTCGCCCCCTAAATTAGCCGCCATGGGCCGCGGCCCATGTGGCCACCCCCTTAATCTGGCCCTGTGCACTTAGGTAAGTGAAAAAGCAGTTATGAATCTCGGATACCAAGCAGGTGATACTCGTACTTGTTAAATCACAGTAATTGGCTAGTGGAGTGTATGTCTTACCGACGTCACAAGATCACTGTCAATTGTGAAAAGTCCAAACGCTGTAATTTCTGCTCTCTTAGCATGCAGTTCCCACATGAACATCCTAATCTGGAACATGAGAAGCCAACCTAAAATTTAAGCACATATTCAACTCTAATCCTCCGATTTTCAGAGGTTTTATTTCCTCACTTCCTTGAGTTTGCAACCCTCCTTTGTTACCTATCTTGAGCGATGACCTTAAACTCTGGAACTATAAGGACGGTACAACAACGGCGTCTTTTTCAACTTTAGGTAGGCTCTTTCTTCCTGCTTCTTTCTTGCCGCAATCTTTCATTTCTCTCTCCCTCATCTTCTTTTTCTTCTTCTTTTCTCTCTTTTTTTCTTCTGGCCATTTACTCTCTTGTCATTTGCGCGCCCCTGTTGTGGCCGCTCCTCATACGCCATACTGAATGCTGTCCTGATTTTAACTTAAGCGCCCAAGAATCTTAACCACGGATACCAAAGTTTGCACTTATCGACGGTGAAACTACCAAACCACGTATCTCGGTTTGCGACGTCACAGACTTCCTGTCATACTTAATTTTTTAAATGAAAAACTACTTAACGTCCAGTCTTGAAAATTTCTGTGATTTTTCCTCTTCGTGCGGAGAAAATTCTATGAAAATTTCAAGGAATGATATTGATTTGGTCTACTTCAAAAAAATAAAATGCGAGCGAAGATTTTTAAACACCGCAAACGAGATACCTACGTGGTTTGGTAGTTTCACCGTCGTTATGTGTTTTGAAAAGGGTACTTTTAAAGTGCTCAGTGCTAACCTACCTGGGATATTTTTCTTTCATCGAACCAGTTGATTGTCACTCTGTGTAGTCTTCGAAGTATTTTCTCACTCTGAAAAAGGAAGAAAACGCAAAATGCTTACGTACTCAAAGACATAAAATTAGGAGGCTGAATAACAGTGCCATCGTGAGAGATTTTTGCAAGTGGAACAAACTCATTACGCGCATTTCATGCCTACGTCCACAGGGGGATCACAGGGGTAGGGGTCCTTCCCAGAAAAATTTTATACTCCCTGGTAAAAATTAGCGATAAGAGTTGCGTTTCAAAATACCATAGGAATTCTTATAGCCGGCTAAAGAAGGCCACAGAAAATCATATGGCTGGCTGTAGAATGCGGAGAAAATCATATGGCCGGGCTGTACGAAGCGATAAAAAATTATGCAGCCGGGCTATAGTTCCTATCGCCGGGCTTTACTTATTATCGTCTGGCTGTTGCTTTTTCGCGCCATCGATTATAAAAGGCTATAAGAAATAGTGTAGAAATTCGTGTGCTTTGGAAATCATTAAGTTTGATACGGAACCACCTTAATATTTACAAAACACACATTATATTTTCCTTCAATACATATTTTTTTTCATCAATTAAAATGAGAATAATCTATACAGGATGTGCAAACATTTCAAAATCATGAGTTGAATAACGCTGACTCCGCCAGATAGAATATTAGAGCCTAACACGAAGCGGAGCGGCGACGCACTGGCGCCTACAAACCTAACAGGGATACTTCACGCATTGCGCAACGCGTGAAGTATCCCTGTTAGGTTTGTAGGCGCCAATGCTCGTTTCGCGCTGGCTGCCCGCCTACCGCGCCGCAGCGTGCCACGGCGCTTGAAGCAACTATTTCTCACCAGAGGTATTGCACAGGATCATACGAAACTGAAGGCGCTCTAATATATTAAGAATGGCAGGCATCCATCAAAAGTACGGAGCTTTCCTCGCAAAATAAATCAAGATACTACGGCACAAAAAGAGAGCAGTAGTCCACAAACTCACGGAGTCCTAGCATCCGTAATTAGTAACGTTTAGCATACACTTTATCGCCTGACTGTTGCTTAATCTCCATCGGCTATAAAAGGCTATAAGAAATTGTGTAGCCGGCTATAGAAGCTATTGGAAATCTTACAGCCGGCTGTAGATCTATGGTATTTTGGAACACCGATTCTACTACCAATTTTTACCAGGGCTTCGAGTTCGAAATGGAGCGCAATTTCAAGGCATTTCCAAACAGTAAATTATGCATGCTTCATGCCTTACATGCAGTCTGAAACCATCATATGAGTTTCACTAATATCCCTGCTACCAACGACCATGTTGGTGTGTAAAGTACGGTACCACGTTGACACCAACTCGGAGATTTTAACGCAGGGTAGGAAAAACGCCAAGACCCCGATCATAGAAAATAGTCTTAACCTGTCTTAAAATGAATTGTACTAATATCCCTGCTAAAAATGACCATGTTGGCGAGTGAAACATGGTAGAATGTTGAGGTCAACAGGGAGACTTTAACTATTAATATAAAAAACGCCAAAGCCCCGAGTCCAACAAAATTGAACACATTTAAATTCCTCTCCTAATTTAGTGTCTCTCACTTTGTTGAGTTCGCCTTCAATGATCGTGACAGCAATATGCGCGGCTTGAGAGCAAGAATAGTCGCACACTGCGCCGTGGTGTTGCCAGTTTTGCTCAGTTCAGGCAAGTAAACCACATTATTTCCTCTCCTTCTTATCGCTCGTCTTTCACTCCGTTGAGCAGTCTGCCTTCGATAATTGGGATGGCATTATGCGTGGCTTAGGACCATGAATTTTTTGAAAATCTAGTAAGCGCTAGTAAAAAACTAAGGTCATTTTCAGATTCAGCAGTTCAGCGGCAAAAATTAGGTAGGTGAAGTTAACCCCACTACACTGCCGCGCTAAGGAAGAAAGCCGTATGAACATTCGAGAGTTGCCAAATTTTCATCGATAAAGTGTTAATTTTTTAGGAATGTTAAGAATATTTTTCCTTCAAATTTTTAAGAACATTAAGTGAAATTGCGAATAAAATTATCCGAAAAATTGGACGAAAAATACTCAAAAGTTTACCAGGAAATTTGAGTTTCGTCAAAGGGTATTTGGCAACGCCTGAAGGCTCATCCGGCGTTTTTCCTCAACACGGCAGTTCACACTTGAGAATAATCCACTCCTTTTCGACGAAAAGCAATCGAGTCCTGAGGATAACCCGACAAATGAGACCCATACGTTAAATCCTCCGCTGCAACAAAATTAGTATCATTATGAATTGAAGGCGCCTTTAACCTGCATCTCTTGAAACTTATACGACATACAAAGAGGCTAGGCGCGCAGTAGAGTGAATGATTAATTCAGCTGTCTGTTCATTATCTTCTAGCGTCTTCTGGTGGCAAAATCATCATCCCTCATGTGCAAAAGTATTGACTGAGTAAAACCCAAGACATCATAAAACCACGACGCGATTCAATTAATAGAGTAAGTAAAAAACCGAGATGTATGGCTTCAAAATTCAGCGGTTGGTTGCAAATATACTAACGGAATTGAGATTGCATTCGCAATACCTATTATGTTGATCGTGCTTAGTACTGATCTTAAGGATATCAAACAAGTGGCTCAACGAACTAGCGCCTTGTCTATCCACGGAATGTTTCACGGGATTTTTCCCAAGTTCGAATCGCAGGAATGAAACTTCAAACTTCCGGGCTTTTTCCTCGTAGGAAAACACAACAAAATTAATTCTCCTTCTTTTGAAGTCATTCCTGGTGCTCCACAAGGACTCTTACTGGTACTGTGATTAGTATTGACTAACTCAATAATTTTCCCAACCTCGCAAGTGAGATTTTTCCCTGGGACAAATCCCATGAAACGTTCCGTGGAGACGAGGCCTAGGTACACACACGAAATCGCAAAACCCGTCAAAAAGGGTTGAAATCTCAATTTTTAGGTCAGGTTAGGTTAGAATTTGTTAGTTTCCTTGCTATTTGATCGAATCAACATACCAGGTATGCACTGGAAAAAAAGCACATTGGATCTAGAGTCCAGACTCTTATAAAAACATCGACAAGAAAGAATACTCTTGATTCAATCAGGTTTAAGCTTAAATCAAGAGCCATACCTCTTAATTTGAGCGGATTTCCTTTTGAGTTCAGCTTAAATCTGATTGAATCAAGAGTCCTTTTTCTTGTCAATGTTTTCAAGAGTCTGGACTCTAGATCCAATGTGTTTTTTTTTTTTAATCAACATACCAAGTATGCCTTGGAAAAAAAGCACATTGGATCTACAGTCCAGACTCTTATAAAAACATCGACAAGAAAAAATACTCTTGATTCAATCAGATTCAAGCTTAAATCAAGAACCTAACCTCTTAATTTGAGCGGATTTCCTTTTGATTTAAGCTTAAATCTGATTGAATCAAGAGTCCTTTTTCTTGTCAATGTTTTCAAGAGTCTGGACTCTAGATCCAATGTGGTTTTTTTTTCCAGTGTGCGTGTATACGAGTATATGGACGTACCGAGAAGACCAAATCTTTTGTATAAGATGTGAGTAGATGAATGATGGCAATATCGATGAGGAAGAAAGTGACCTGGGTGAAGAAGGAATAGTACTGGAACAAGAGGAAGAACTCTACGAAGAGGGAATAGGCGGCCGTGCCGAAGAGGGCGATGAGCGGGAAGGAGAAGCAGTCGTTGAAGACGTGCACCGCGTGGAACAGCTGCGTGTAGAGGAGTCTGTACAGGTCGATCTGGGCCTCCGTCCTGTCCAGCATCTCCCAGAGTTGAACCATCACATCGAACCGAATCCGAATGTTCTCGCTGAAGTAAACGTAGAGGCACAGCGTCACGAAGAGAGGCAAAGAGTCGACGCTCCTGCATATTGTAGCCACTGCGGCCGACAGCAGGGGCATCCGTGCCGCCACGAACAGAGCCACAGCCACCACCTTGAGGCACATCAGAAAGAGCAGGAGCCTGAAACAAGATTTCGTTAACGGAGCGCCCATAAAGTACCTAACGCAATTTTTTCGGTATTTTTTACCCCACCCCCTTGTAATGTTTCGTAACCCGACCCCAGACGACCCCCCCCCNCAATATTTACGAGACGAATAATTTTGTTTAAAGTTTAGTTCATGGGCGGACTTAGGGGGGGGGGCAGGGAGAGTGTGCCCTCCCCCTCGTTCGCCCGGAAAAAGGAGAGAGAACAAGGGAAGAAAGTAAGAAGGGAAGAAAGAAGAGGGAAGGACGCTTATATATGGTAATTATTTATGAAGAAATTGACGCAAACCTCATGTTGGATTCTTTTAGAATTTCGGAACATTTTTGGGGAAAGCCATCCGCGCCATCCTTTCGCACACACCCCTCCCCTCCCCCTTCCCGCTCGAAGTGTCTGGCTCTCTCTTCGATTCTGTCTAAATCTTGCGGGTCTTCACACGCCTTTTGAGTTTATAATCAGAAATTGCTGCTTGTCAAAAAGGCTCAAAACAAAACTATGCGCTTATACTTTAAAGCTTGAGTAGCTGATAGGAAATTATCGAACATTTTCGAAAAGTACCTTCATGTAGGTCAAGTTCCTCACTTAAACCTTACAGGGTGTTTGCAAATATGATTTTGATATTAAAATGGAACACACTCGAAAGCTTCAGACTGTACGACTGTAACTCCGATGAAAATTGATTTATAACGCTAAGCGTTTTCGTTACATGAGCCTATTTTGTTAACTTTGAAAACGCATCTATGGGCTAAACATCAAATGGACTGCATTTTGAAATTTGGAACTATAAATTCTGGCTCATCTGAGAAAACACTTATGTGCATGGGGAAACTAATGGCACAAATTTTCGCCGTAACCCGCACGAAGCAACGTAACTCCATCCCAAGGTTGCCAAATTGACTCATCAATTAATTTATTTTATAAAATTGCATCTACGCAGTTTTCATCAAAATTTGCCATGATTTTTACATGAAAGGTGAGGAAAAATCAGTGAAATTTCCAGTTCGAATTGCCCAAAATTTCCCTGTTTAATATGCAATTTACGAGGGGAGATTTGGCAACAATGAAATAGAGTTACGTTCCTTCGTGAGAGAAACGACGAATACGCTGTTTTTATACCGGGGCGGAATTTATAGTTCCAAATTGCAAAATGTGGTCCAAATTATTACCTGAAAAAGTTCGATTTGAGACGTTTGTACTGGAGCCGCTGTGCAGGCTCGATCGTCAAGGCCTTGGAGCCGACGGCGCCGACGATTTTGGCGTCGAACTCGAAGATGGCCTCGATGATCTTGAAGAGCTTGGGCAAGCAGAAGACCCAGATGAGCTGGAAGATGACGGTGACGGCTACGTCGAGGGACAAGAAGGACCATCGATAGCGGAACCACCGCGCGTAGAAGTAGCCGCCTCCGATGGCTACCGTCACGTAGAACGTGACGTAGATCAGTTGCCGGAGTCGACCGAGCAAGGATGGAGTTTCTTTACCTTTCCGCGGCGGATACGATCGAAATTTGAAGTTCTCGCTTTTTGGCAGAGGGCAAGTCAGCCGGGTGAAATCTATGATTGGTGACGTGTAGAGTTTGAATTCGCTGAATTCTGTCTCTGCGAGGTTCTTTCCCGAGTCGCTTACTTTGTTACTGCCAGGTGAAAAAGGTGAGAAGCAAAGCCACATTTTGCGGATTCAGTTCAGATTTTAGAGGAAAGCGTCAAATGCAAGAAATAGTAACAAGTAATATGCCTCCAATAAATTGAAACAATCTTGAAAAAGAGTCAACATTTTTTAAACCAAAATGTTTTGATAAAACTTGAATGGTATCATATTCCCATGAACAGATTTGTCAATTTTGGAAAAGCATACTTCGCTAAGGCTGCATTTCCCTTCTTCCTCTTTTTAATAAACAAGGATTATATTGAAACTATGGGCCTGTGGTAGCTACGCGGTCGCCAACCACTGAAAAAGAACAGCACGTAAAACATCGTGGAACAACCATGTTCAAGTTATTTAAGAGATCATTGCGGATCCAAAAAGTCGTCGGGTGCACGCGAAAGAAAGCGTATTTATCTCTGATTGCAATGTTATGCAACACTTTTATGTTTTGTTTTTAATCAGTGTTTTTGAAAAGCCACACACAGTTTTTCTGAAAAGCCTCCATAAATTTTCCCAAATGATCCTAAATAATAGCTTCGAAAATTGTCTAGCGGCAATGTGCCTGCACCCGTGTTCGAATAGTTATCTTGTTACGCCTACCATGAATGAAATCCAATATCGACGCCTGCACGCGAGAAAAAGTGTTCTTACCCTTCGATTGCAACGTTGCACATCTCTACTAATGTTATATTTTTAATCAATTTCTTTAAAAAGCTACTCACGGTTTTTTGAAGCGTTTTCAGGAAATTTCCAGGATGACTTACAATAAAGTCACAAATAAATTTCGACGCAATAGTTACGTTCGTTTAGTTGTGATAAAAACCGGGCAGAGATCGTCAAAAGAACGCCAACGGGCCGGCTGCACTGCGTTTGGCGCAATGCGAGAAGTATTCACGCAGTCTTGTAGGCGCTAATATGCGCGTCACGCCGACCGACCTGTTTGGCGCAATGCGTGAAGTATTTCTTCAGGCTTGCAGGCGCTAATTTGCGTTTAACGCCGACCGCACTGTGTTCGGCGATTTGTTCGATTATTCGAACTAACGTTAGAATAATCGTAGCCTCGAATAATGGGGCTTAAGAGGCCCATGTTGTGTTTCGACGCCGTGAGAGTATTCCAACGTTGCGTAGTTTCTCCCTATACGATATTTTTCCCGAAAAAAGTTAGGAAAGTTCTCTATGCTCACTTTTTTAGATTGAATGAACCATTAAACAAGGCACGAATTGAAGCTTTCTGGTACATGATACCTCGCCAGAATTTCACGCAGAACACGATTTGAACCACGAAAACTACTGAAATCAATTCCTAACTAAAATAATAACGTTTTTATTGTACATTGGTTACGGGCAATTTGAAGTGCCCGGTTACAAGAAAAACAATGCCAAATCTACCGAGTGTATTTGAAAATTTCGCTTTAATGAAAAAAGAACCTACTTGTTGGAACTGCAATTTTAAATGTGTAATCGTTCGGTTACTCTGAACAAGTGCATAGAAAATAATGAGTTGGAGACCGGATAGATCAAACAGGACGACTTGCACGAGTGTTAATGACTTTACTTCGAGTAGCTTGAGAAATGAAATCTTCCCCTATAATGCGCTGTGCAACAACTGACGAGACCTCACCACCGGTCTTGAACGATATACTTAAGTAAAAATAAACCAGCACCTTGATCAAAAAGATGTACGGCTACATCAAGGGCAAACTTCAAGGTAATAGTCAAATATTTATACGCTGTTAGAATTCGATTGGTCAGCTTATCTTAAATCTGAACTTTCGTGTACTTCGCAGATGCCTTTGAATACTCACTATCCTTTTACAAGTTTCTTTTTAATCTCACTAATGGTGTGGCTCTTTGGTAAATATTGTGTGATGTGTGATCGTATTTGAAAAAATATAAATCATGTCATATTTTCGCGGAATCAGCTATGAATTATTTTGAAAAAATTTACCTAATAAAATCAATAAATATACAATTCTTTGCCATCTGCTAGTTCAGACCAAGAACTATCGTGCTTTGCTTTTGCATGCTTTTTTAATCAACCACATGTATAAAGCAGAGGTTTTCACCACCACCACCCCCCCCCCCCCCCCCCCCAATCGCCAATCGGTAGTTGATTCACAAGTGAACGCAACAATCCGACGCGCCACGAAGCGCCTGACCTGGCGGCCTGCATGCAACTATTCGTGTTCGATGGATGTGCGTCTTGCATATTCTAATTAATGAAGGCGTTTCGGTTTTTCTTATGCCCTCAGCAACGCAAACGGTGGCGGTTCTTTGCGCTGAAGCAGTCGTGTTGCTTCGATGTGCAAGGAACGCACTCGACCTTCGAGCGACAAAGACGGTTTCTTCCTTCTTGTCATGACATTTTGCGCGGATGCATGTATTTTGTATTGTTCTGAATCTGAAATATCAATTGTCATGAAGAAACAGTTTTTTGCCTGTTTCAGAAATGAAGAAACACACGGGTCAATATGAGCAAAAGTCATTATGCAACAATCCGTGCGGTTGTCAAAAAACATACATAGATGAAAGCATTTCAAACTCTTCGCCCTCATTTGAATACATAAACGTGCGACGAACCAAAAATTCCACATGAAAACTTCCAAGGAAAGCTATGAAAATATTTAAAAAAAAATTACACATTTTCAAAAAAGACGCTCTCGTCACAGGTCTGAGAGAACGCAGTGAGAGTCACTACGGTGTATGAAGATGTTTCGATTCTTTTCAAGACTCATGACTACTTAGACATGAACGAATGTGATCCTGATAATTACTCAGGCTGGGTAGTAACTGGGGAACCGTCTAGCTCTGTATGAATATGTATGCATACATGCGCACGTAAACAGACTCATTTTGAGGTAAAGTGGACGCGTTGAGTGGACGCAGGGCCCAAAAAGGTCTTTCAAGAAATTACTATCAGTGTCAGTAACGCAATTCATATTGGAGGTAACTTTAATGACCATGGACAAAAGCTAAGAGTGACTGACCCACGACTGTTTTGTCATAGTTGACTTCGATATTGTCCGTTCAAACAAGTATTATGGATAAGTTGTCATGCGCTCATAACTCTGGCCTTAATTTTTTGCTTGATGTAGTTCAGTGTTGCCGCTAAATGGTCCAATAGAGGAAAATATCGTTTTTTAATGTTGTGAATGTTCTGTCATATATCGATGTTGGAAAAAAAAATACCTTTCTCTCATCGTTTTACTGCTAGTTATGCCGGATCGATCGCTCTGCACTAAAAATATATACGATTACATTTTTAAATGTACGTAAGTTAGTTGCTGATGAAAGGATATTTGGG